CACAATTTTTACACAACACACACAAGATTACCATATATATATATATATATAATGTTATATATTTTTGAATTATATTATATATAAATATATATAGATAAAAATATCCAAACAGATTTTTAGATGGAAAGATTTGGGTGAACACCTAGATTTGTGTTAGATGAATACATGTTCAGGTGAATAGATATTTATTTATGAATTATATGTTATAAAATATAGATTTTTTTAAAAATATAGTTTGAATATGAATAGATGATTTTTGAATATTTTCTTGATAGAAAATATATTTTAAGGGTAACAGATGTTTGGGTGAATATATGGTTGCGTGAATATTATTTTATATAGATGTTTATATTGAAGTTATGTTTGGGATATGAATAGATTCTTATGAATATATATATGGGTTAACAGATTTTTATATATAAATAGAGAATTGGATGAATAGATATATAATATATAGATATTTGGTTGAACAAATTTTATAAATAAAAGTTGTTTGAGTTAACGAATATAGATATGAATAGATGTTTGACGAACATTTTATATAGATAACAGATAGATATTTGAACAGATGTTTGGGTGAACAGATGTTTGAGACAAGATGTTTGGTTTAATACAAGTTTGGGTTACAAATTTTGAAAAAGACAGATCCTTGGTTAATAGATGCAAGATTCACAAAAGATAGTTAAATTTTTTTTTTTTTTGAATAGTTACTTGGATGAACATATGTTTGGGTGAACAGACGTTTATTTCCAAGATATATTTTTATGAATATAGATAATGGGTGATACGTGTTTGGGTTTAATAGATGTTTGGTTAAGTGTGTTTAAGAAATATATGCTTGAAACCGATGTTTGGGTTTAGAGATAGATTTTAAAAAACAGATGTTGGGTGAACAAATTTTTAAATAAATATATTGATAGACATATATATATTATTATAGATGTTTGGATAGAAACAGATAGGCTTTAGATATTTGGATGAATAGATGTTTGGGTGAAATAGATAATTTTTTCAAAAGATGTTTGGGTTAATTTCTGATGTTTGAAATCAGATGATTGGTGAATAGATGCTTGGGTGAACACATGTTTGGTTAAATTGATGTTTGGCGAATAGTTGCTTGAATGAACATATGTTTGGATGAACAGATGTTTGGGTGAATAGATGGTTGGGTGAATACATGTTTGGGTGAACAGATGTTTGGTTGAATTGATGTTTGGGTGAATAGATGCTTGACTGAACAGATGTTTAGGTGAATAGATTCTTGGCTGAATAGATTTGAACAATCATGAAAAAAATGTTTTCATTAATAGATTTTGGGTAAATAGATAGATTGATGGCATAGATGATCGGTGAACAGATGCTTGGGTGAACAGTTTGCGTGAACAGATGTTTGTGTGAATATATTTTTAGGATGAACAGATGTTTTGGTAAATAGATGTTTTGGTGAATAGATGTTTGGCTGAATAGATGCTTGAACGAACAGATGTTTGAATGAATAGATTTCAAATTGACAGATGCTAGGGTTTTTGATATTTGGGTGAACAGATGCATATGTTTGAGGAGATATTTTTAAAATAGATTCTTATTATTTAGATACTTGGGTTTTTTTTTTTTGTGAATTTAGATGCCTGTTTGCATAAATGTTTGGCACTCTTGAAACAGATGTTGTGGGTTTTCAGATTTCTGCGTTTTGTTGATGTTTATGTGAATATATTTTTAAGATGAACAGATGTTTGGGTAAATAGATAGATGCTTTGATTATACAGATGTTTGTTTGAATAGATGTGTGGGTGATCAGATGTTTGGGTGAACAGATGCTTGGGTAAATAAATGCTTGGGTGAATAGATGTTTTGTTGAATTGATGTTTGGCTGAACAAATGTCTGGATGAACAGATGTTTGGGAGTACAGGTGTTTGGGTGAAGAGATGTTTGGCTGAATACATGTTCGGGTGAACAGGTGTTTGGTTGAACCGATTTTGGGGTTAATAGATGCTTGTACTGATGTTTGGGTGAATAGATGCTTGGTTGAGCAGATGTTTGGGTGAACAGTTGTTTAGATAAATAGATGCTGATATAATTGATATTTTTTTTCTATTTGTTTTTAAACAGATATTTGGGTAGCACAGATGCTTGGGTGAGCAGATTATTTAATAATTAGTAATATTGTTTGGGTGAACAGATGTTTGGTTGAATTGATGCTTGGATGAACATATCTTTGGGTGAACTCATGTCTGGGTGAATAGATGCTCGGCAGAACAGATTTTTGGATGAACAGATGTTTGGGTGAACAGAAGCTTGGGTGAATAGATATTTGATTGACAGTTTTTTTGGCGTACAGATGTTTGGTTTAATAGATGCTTGGGTGAATAGATGCTTGGTGAATAGATGCTTGGTGAATAGATGCTTGGGTAAATATATGCTTGGGTGAACGGATGTTTGGGTGAATAGATTTTTGTGTGAACAGATGTGTGACAGTTGTTTATGGTTTGGTGAATACATGTTTGGCTGAACAGATGTTTTTGTGAACAAATGCTTATGAAAATATATTTTCATTTTCAGGAATTTGGGCGTAGAAATGTTGAATTAATAGATGCTTGGGTGAAAATATGCTTGCGTGAATAGATGTTTATAGTAAATAATTTTAATGATAATGTTTTCTAATGAATAGATAAACAATGAACAGATGTTTGGGTGAATAATGTTTAAATAGATAAAGACAAATAAAAAATAATATTTGTAAATTGTTGTAAATTGATTAACTACCTTAAGTCAAAAAATACTTGTATAAAGAATTATAAAAAAAATGTAATAACTAGTTTAAATATCAAAATAAACTAATGTGATTTCAGAAATTACTTTAAATTTAGTTGGCAAATGTTATCCGTGAACTGCAAAATCAGATATTACCCTTTGTATTGCTAATGATGAAAATATTGTGGAAACTTAAATAAAATTTCAATAAAACCTTAAAAATATAAATTTATGAACTTTTTCTAATCCTTTTTGAATATTATTTCTATCATGAATACAAATAAAGTTATATTTTTTTTTAAAATTGTAATATTTTACTTTATCAGAACAATTTGCTTTTTTCCATCTCTCTCTCTCTTTTCTTAAACAAAAAAAATATTTTTATATATATATATATATATATAAATAAATATATATATATCAATATATTGAATATATGTATAAGTTTATTTATAAAAAAGAAAACAAGAAAAAATGAAAATTCATGTATGCAAAATTAAGGATCGTATATAATCATTTTGTTTAGGTTGAGATGAGGTTGTATGTAAGGGAAGAAACTTAAATTAGTTTGAGTATTGTCCTGGCTTTTGTCGCCATAAGATAACGATTGAAACTTTCGAATACCAGCTCCGGCCTTCTTCAAGTGGTTGGAATTAATAAAATGAACCCTTTTATATTAAAAACTGGAAGACCTCATTAGCAATGGTAGCTACATCATAGTGAAAAAAGATCCTACTATGAAAACGGAACGCAAACTGTCACAGATCCTAATCAAGAACAAGGATCACTTCGCACCCAAGACGTATAGGCAGTTATCGCAGCGTTACAGCAAGTTACCTCACATATACGGTCTCCCTAAGATTCACAAAGACGGTATTCCACTCAGGCCGATTGTTAGTTGCCAAATGATCTGTGTGCCACCCTCTGAGTCGCTTCCTTGTAGATATAATTGACCCATTGATCGGAAAGTCTCCTTCATATGTCCGAAACTCCGCCCACTTCGTGGAAATAATCAAAGATGCTCCCATCCTATCCAACCAGATGGTGAGCTTGGACGTGGTGAGTTTGTTCACCAAGGTACCCACGGAGGAGGCACTCTCAGTAGTCAGAGACAGATTAACCTCTGACTCTTCCCTAGAAGAACGGACCAGTATTCCAATAGATAATCTGATGGAGATGTTGACTTTCTGTACACAAACAACACACTTCAGATGGGATCTCACATATATCGACAGGATGAGGGCTTAGCAATGGGCTTTGCCATTATCACCAGCAATGGCGAATATATACATGGAATACTTTGAAGAAATGGCATTAGAATCTATATCTCTAAAGCCAACTATATGGTTAAGGTACGTAGATGACACCTTCATACTCTGGCCACATCAGGAAGATGTTCAGGTTCTTCTGGACCATGTGAACTCAATAAGACCTTCGATACAGTTCACAATGGAGAAAGAGAGTAACAACACACTCCCATTCCTGGATGTTCTAATATCTCGAACAGAGCATGGTTTCAAGACATCCGTATACCGTAAACCGACATTCACTGGACAGTACCTTTCAACTTCCACCATCCATACAGCGTAAAGAAAGGGATCGTCCGTTGCTTACAACATCGAGCAAAAGTCATAAGTGGCGACCCAGGGACGTTAGATAAAGAATTGGTCAGTATAAGTAGTACCATACAACGTAACAACTACCCTAGGTACATGGCAGCAGCCCCCCAAAACTGGGATAGGCGGGTATAAGAAGAGGAGGACAACAACACTCAGAAAACAGTCTGCCTGCCTTTTGTGAAGGGGTTATCAGGGAAAATACAAAGGAGCTGCGGTCCATATAACATCAGGACAACCTTCAAAAGCTTGACAACACTTCGCAGATATCTCTCCCGAGTAAGACCCCCCATAGAGAACATGACTACAGACTGTGTGTACGCTATCCCGTGCAGCTGCGGAAAGGAATATAAAGGAGAGAGACAGGCCGCCCCCTCAAGGTAAGGCTTCAAGAACACCAGAAAGCTGTAACACGAGGGGAAGTAGAAAAAATCAGGCGTGGCTGACCACATATGGAGAGAGAGGGAGATCACCGCCCCTGTGGGATCATGTTGAGATCATAGACAAGGAACACCATTGGAAAATTCAAACTTAAGGAATCAGCACATATGCTAGGCCACAAAAAAATCCTGAGCCGACCAAGCATAGAAATAAATACAATATGGGAACCAGTAATAAGGAGTGCCAGAGAAAAGCAATGATAACAAAAGTTGCAATATGAACTCTGGTAAAGACATGCAATGATAACAGCAAAATTGCAAAAAAATTGCAATATGAGCACTGGTAAAAATGATGCTGAAAACATTAGGTTTATAATACTCAGAAATTCATACCCAGATGTCCTCAAGGACACATGGCACAGTGGATAAAGGCGTTGGTTAGATCCAGTGACAGACCCAAAGAAGGTGAGTTCAATTCCTGGTTAAGGCAGTGGAGAACTTTCAGAGGGAAAATTAGCAGGAGATAACTGATAACTGACATCCATCAAACATGGCACGTGGAATTAGAACAGTCTACCCCAGCGATCGAAATAAAGGGTTCAGTTCGAAATTCCAACCACCTGAAGAAGGCCGGAGCGTACAACGGCCGAAACGTTGTGACAAATATGGCGACAAAGATGAGGACAATAGTCCGACTAATTAAATAATACATATGTAGAGCAAAAATATTTAAAAAAAGCTAAATGTTTGGGTGAATTCATGAAAAAAATTTAGAAAAGATTTTCAAAAAAAGATGTTTTTGAACAAAGAAACTTGAATGAATAAATATTTGATTGACAGTTTATTGGGCGTACAGATGCTTGGGTGAATATTTAATAGTTCTTTAAAAAATCAACACACCTGAAAAAACATGACAGTTACAACTTTTTCCCAAATATGGATTCTAAAATACAAAATATTCGAATAATATATGAAATAACCTTCCTTTTTTTTTTTCTAAAAAAAAAAATATTTGCTGCAAAAATATATGTGAAATAATAATTAATCAAAATTTTTATAAAATATATACGTATATATCTCACTTTGAAGTACAAAGAAAATTTATATTTAAAAATCCTCAAGAAGAAAGAAATTTTATTTGATATTTTTTGATTTTAAAGGAAAAATTTGTCTCTTAACTACAAATATTATTTTATCAGGGATATAATTAATAAATATGACGTAAAACTTTTCAAAAAAAATAAAAAATTCATATTTCTTCTTTAGAAAAATTTTATGAAATTTTTTCAAAAAGTTTTGAATTTGGTTTTTTGAAATTTTTCTTTGGAACCATCTAAAATCTCCTATGTAAGTAGCGATAAAATAATATTCTAAATCACGCATTGATTTCTTGAAGGCACACTTGGATCTATCATTCAAGTAGAATGCAAATGTTTTCAGAAAGAAACTTTTTATATGACTCTTCTCGATCACATTCAGCATCAAATATAAAATAATATCTGAGCTGGTTTCAAAAGAAAATCATAATAAAACAGAATTTTAAAAGAAAATTTTGATGAAAGTAGAAATTTAATAATAATTCAAGGGAAAAATAAAAAAATATTTATAATAAAAATGGAAAAAATAAAATTAACAAAATAATTAAAGAAAAACATTCAAATAAAGAAAAAAACTTTTATAAAACGAAATTCCTTTCTTTAGTAATCGATTCTCCAAAAAAAAAGAAAATAAAAACTGAAAAAAAAAAATAATTATTGAGAAAGAAAATTTTAATTTTTGAAAATGAAAAAAAAAAAAATTAATAATTTCTAAAAAGAGTTTAAAAAGAATAATTTCAACCAAAAAAAAAAAAATTAATTACTGAAAATTTCTTTATTAATTCTTCCTAGAAAAAAGTAACTTTGAAAATTTGGAAAGAAAAAAAAAATATTTCCTGAAAAAGAAGAAAAAAAAAGAAATAAAAAAACAATTTTCGAAAAAAAAATAAAAAAAAAAAATTTTGAAAAAAACGAATAATTACTGAAAAGAAAGAAAGAAAATAATAATTTCTTTTAAAAAAGAAAAAAAAATTTTCTTTGAATAAGAAAAAAAAAATGAATAAATTTGAAAAAAAAAAAAAAAACACTCTGTCAAGAAAAGAAAGAAAGAAAATAAACGAATTTTTTTGAAAAGGATGAAAAAAAAAAGATTAAAAAAAAGACTTTTTCCATTCTTCCAAAAGAAAAAAAACAAAAAATTTCCGAAAAAAAAAACAAAATAAATAAAGAAATAAAAAATAAAAAAAATGAAAAAGAATAATTTCTGAATAAAGGGAAGAAAAATACAAAAAGAAATTGAATGAAGAAATTAAAGAAAGAAAGAAAAAAAAAAATTCAAAAAAAATTTTTGAAATGTTGAATAATTTGTTAAAATATTTAATGATTTTCATTTAAAAAAAAAAAAATCATTTTGAAAAAGAAATAAGAAAGAAAAAAGTTCTGCAAGGAAAGAAAGAAAAAAGAATAATTCTAGAGCAGAAAAAAAGAAAAAATAATTCCAAGAATGAAAGAAAGAAAAGAATAATTTCTGTAAAAAGTGGTAAAACTAAAAAAAAAAAAAAAATAATTTTTGAAAATATAGATGAATAAAAAAAATTTCTGAAAAAAAAGAAACTCCTTCAATAATTTAACAAAAAGAAAGAAAATTTGTTTTTTCATGCTAAAAAATTATTAAAAAATAGTAAAATAACTGAATGAAAAATTTTCAAAGAACG